AGTCGGCACTCAGCTTTTGATTATCCTTTTGATTTTCATTTGCAGTCATGTTTTGGTAGTTTGATCCTAACCTAAAACGTAGGGATGACACTTCTGTCGAGTTTCTCTGGCTGTAGCATGTGAAGGTCTTGGTTCTGTTCCATCAGTTTTTCACTGATACCTTTGTAGAATCATAGATTAGAATTATAGAATCATTTAGGTTGGAAAAGGCCCTTAAGATCATTGAGTCCAGTCATTAACCTAGCATTGCCAAGTCTACCATTAAACCATGTCTCTTAAAGTGCCACATCTAAAATGCCATTTTAAATACCTCCAGGGATGGTGACTCAACACCATGTCTTTCTTCAAATGTGGTAATTTGTCTTAAAATATAGAAGTTTTAGCTGACCATAATTACCCCTGATAAGTGACTTGTTAGTGTAGCAGTTTGTTTTACAGGAACAAACCGGTTATTAGATGTTGCCTGTAAGGTCATGTAGGAAAATATTAATAATCATAATCACTAATACAAAGTAAAAATTAACACTATAATCACAACTACTACAGCTACCAATAACTGTGTGATGATTTATTACAGCTTTATCCCAATTTTAAAATAGCAATTTATGTGCTAATGAGATAATGTAAAATATAATTTCAAAAAATATCTCATTACCGTAGAGCCAATCTTGTTAGTGGTGTGCATTCAGAAGTCTTGTGGAACTTCGGCAGAGTTTAAGTGGCTATGTGTTTCTGGAACAGAGCTCATATTCTGTTTATGTGGCTGCATGCCTCCTAAAAATCTGGTGCTAGTTGCTTTGCTTCTATAAATACGTGTGTATTGATCCATAACATTTTAACCACCTCTGCTCTGGCTAAAACTAGAATCATTTAGACTTGGTAGTTGTTTGAACAGTATAAGAAAGGTTAACTCTCAACAAAAAATAATTTAAATTTTATTTAAAATTTATAAGAGCTCGTGTTTAAATGAACTTGCAATAAAGTATTTCTAAACATTAAACTTTAAAAAATAATTCTAAGTATTTATGATTTAGGCAGGAACATAAATGCTATTTGGCTAGAGTTAATTGTGGAGGAAGCTTTCTGTAGGAAGGAAACAGAATGGTTTCATTCATGAAATAAGGATCAATTCTGGGTAGCAGAGAACTATCAAAAATAAAAGATATTTTAAAAGGATAGAAAATTTTAAAGTACTAAATAAGCAAAATGGCAGGAACTTATTGCAGAGTTTATTCCTTACATTACTTGTGAAGCTTTATAAAATCCCTTTTTCAATTTTTTCATAAGTCTTTACAATTTCTCCCAATTCATCTGTTTTTTTTTTTTAATTTATTTTTTTTTTTTTACACACATGATCAGCTTGCATATGTTCAAGAGTAATGTCTTAATGGATTTTAATGTGTTTCAGGCTCAGGTACTGTTTATTTCACCAGTGTAAATCTATAACGCAGGACGACGCAAATCCTGTAGTAGGCCTGCATGGGTATTTGTGATCAGGTCATTATTCTAGCTGTTTCTGTGTTGTGGTGTTGTCCAGACATACCTGACCTAGCTTTATACTAATTAAATTAAGTGTCCACCTGGCTTCTGAAATGAGCTTTGCAGGCAGTGTTGAACTCATGACTCCTGTGGCTAGGTGTTTTTTGAATTCTCTAATGTTTTTAGACAAATTTCACTTGGATGTGTCTTTGTAATGTAATAGTCACAAGGCTGACTGGCATTTAAACATTCTGTCTGTCTCAAAGCCATGCCATTTAGATCAGATGGGGACTATTATTTAAATATTGATGTGACCTTAATTTTGTTTGCAGATATTTTGATTGGCTTGATAAATTCCTTCCTCAGTTAAAACTAACATGTTTGAAGATGAAATGATTGTGATAAGCAGCTAGCTAACCTTAGCACTGTGCAGCAGCATAACACTGCAGTTACTTGGATGTGCTGACATTGTCTTTTAGGGAAAGTTAACTACCATGTAAAGATTATTTCAAAGAACTTTGAGAAGGTTAGTACATTTGTTGACAACGTTTAATTGCTCTCCTGCATATGATATATGCATGGTTCTGCCAGTAATTTTTACAAGTTTCTGACAGCTCTCTAGAACTATTTTGGGCTGTTGCTGATTTCAGAATGGTACTGGAGCTGAGTATCCATTTGTGATCTTATTGCCAGCTTTTAGTGAGACATTAACACTTAATGTTGTTCAGTCATCAAGACTGTGAGGACATTCTTAGTGCAAGACAAAAGGTTCTATCTGCAGCTCAGCAACTTGATGCATGACTTCAATCAGTCCATGAGCAAAGTGTTCACAAATGAATGTAGTATAATGAAAAACTTGAAATAATTGGTAATGTAACTATTTATGTCTTTCCGTTAAACTTAGTTTATATTGAAGACTGGTAGAGGGTGAATTTTTTCTAATAAAATATGATAACTTTAAGACTTGGTTATTTTCTTTTCTATAATGCATTTTGGATGAAATAATCTTAAAATCTTTGCCTCATCATGTTAGGTATTTTGAATTGAAATCCTTGAATAAAACCCCCTGAAATTTATACTTAGTGGTTCTCCCAGTTTATATCTGTTTATATCCATGAAAGATCATGTGCAACAACAACTGTACTCTTCTGTCTTTTCTTTCAAAACCTGAACACACATTTGCCATGCAATTTTATTACAATTGTAGTTTCTGCCTCTGCCTAGGAAAATAAAGTATAATTCAAAGAAACTTTCAGTCTTTTTTTTTGTAGTGATATAATAGCTTACGTGTATTTATTTATTTGTTTGCTTTTAATTTGAATTTCACTGTGAATGTCTGAGGTTAGTTGATGATTTAGTTTGACATAAGAAGTGCCTGCTGCTTAGTTTTGTTCTGTTTCAAGATTAGATGTTTACTGTAAGACAAAATTCTCTTTAGCATTAACAAGCACTTCTTCATTTTTTGGTCCAGCACATTCAGGAGAAATTATGATCACATAATCTATTTATATACTTAGCTGCAATGATTAAACAAAAATGGATTCCAAGCACTGTGTTCTGGTCCTGAACTTTGTCCCTAATCCTGCTAAAGTTCAATTGAGTGCCAATTTACATCACTGTTTAGTCCCATTAACACTCACCAGAACTCCTTAGTGTTGAAATTCCAGCTAGATATGTGCCTAAGACCAAGAAAGATCAGAGCCATTTATTCCACATATGCTGTCTTGGTAAAAGAGCTAGCTGTAGTTCCCCGCTATTACCAATTCCTATGTAATGACATTTATTACTGCATTTTGAGGCAAGTCTTATTACCAGAAGCTGCTAGACTCCTATTTTGCTATTAGCTGGGTACAATTAGAGTTGCATTAATCAGTTGTGCTTGTTCAGCTGAGTTCAGATTTTCTTTTGCTCAGGGGAAGATCCAACAAGTTTTTAAGCCAGTACTTCAGACAATTTGAAACTGTGACCATAAATAATCCTGGAAGTTTTGACCATATGCAGTAAAAGAAGTGTGTGTCACTTTATGAATTCTAAGGAATGGTTATCATCTTCAACCACTATTTATACCCACTTTAATGTGTGTTTTTGCAACATCAGATCTACTCTTCCTAATGATATGTACATACCAAAGTCTTACATGACAAGCCAGCCTGCCTTTCTAACTTTTAAGGTACTTCAGAATTTTTCAGCATCATAATGTTAGTCTGAAATTTGAGGGATGGGGGGGAAAAAAAAAAAAAATCATCTTTACATGTGTAGATGCCTGTTTATTTTCAGCTTTGTGCAGAATGGCTTCTTAAGCTTTAGATAAATTAATTGAGAGAATCTTCCCATGGAACTGTGGTATTTAACTGTTCATCACTTCTCTGCTTAGTAGCTTCCTCAAGGAAAGCTGAGTTTTGAGTGGCTGATGTACTTGCATTTCCTCATTCGAGGGGGCTTGAGGGTAAGGGGGGGGGGGGGAGAAAAAAGCCTCGAGTTCAGCATAGTTCCCAAATTTCAGTGGTTTGAATTGTTTTCTGGAGGTTTTTGAAGACCCTGAGTAAGGGTGGTGCCTCTATAGGAAAGGGAGATATCTAACAGAAGCTGTTGCCTTACGAGGGCAAAGTTTCCATCAGCTCTGACTATGTAGGTTATAACAGGACTACTTACATAGTTCTGGTCAGCTAACTCTGTAGAAAGTAAAACACAAATTAATATCTCAATTCAGAGGTTAATGTATACGCTGTGAGGTCAGAAGGAGGGCCGTATAAGACAAATGTGTCTTTCAGTGTAAAAGTGGCATTAGAGTTAGCCTACACCACCAGTAAGAGCTATCTGAATAATGTTCATCAGGTACACTGCCACCAAAAATCCTGAAATAAATCCTAGTGGCCTGAGCTACGGAAAGGAGTACAGAGCTTGTCTTAGCCTATTAAATCCTGGAAGTCTGAAAACATGGAAGATCTTGTGAGAAAATTGCATGTAATAAATCAAATCAAATTCAAAAAGCTTTGGATGAATGAGTGCAAAGGCAACGTGGGCTGGAGGGAATGAGTCTAAATGGAAAGGAGAACAGTTGCTTAGGTCTAGCTAAAGGGATTTCATCATAATTTTCCTCTAAATTAAGATTATTTCAGGGCCAATGAGATGAGAAAATCTGGAAAGATTTTTTGGTGTGGAACAAGCATACTAAAGGACCTGCATGTTGAGGTAGTAGAAAAAATGATATGCTCCATTATTTCTAGTTTTGTGTCAGTCATGTTATGTTCTGACTTTGAGCCACTGTGCTTAGTACTGAAAGCTTGTTTAACAAGTTGCTGCTGAAATAAATAGGGATCATAATGATAAAGTGGTACAGGCTGTAATTTATGACATTTTTTGATTCAAGGAAAAGACCCTTGTCTTCCGCAAAAAATATATTATCCATATTTCTCAGTAGCTCTACCTGAAGAGCAGAACTTACGGTTATTGGGGAGGAAAATATTTAAAGTGATTACTTATGTTTTCTGGAAAATCATTTTCTTTTTTTTTCTTCACAGTAAAACCAACAGTTATTGATGTTGACATTTATGTCAACAGCATTGGTCCCGTATCATCAATAAATATGGTAAGTGACTTGCTAACAAAAATTTTTATCTGGACTGCTGGTTTTGGCATCAATACTAGCTTTTGAAAAAGGCATAAATACCACCAGGATAGGTTGTTTTTATTGTTGATTTAGTTTTGTTTTCAGCTATAGCTCTGTTTTTCAGATGAATCTTTTGTGTCTCTTCAAGACAGGAACAAGCCTACAAGCCAGTATTATCCTCTGTGTTGTCTACCACAAAATGCTGGTAGATCTTGAATAGCAAAATAGCCTTCATAGCTAAAAAAAAACAATATATATGAAGCATAGCTAGTGTCAAGAAAAATCTGAATTCAATGTTTCAAGAGTCAGTCGAATATACAGAGCTTCATAATGTGGAATTAATGAGAATCATCACATACTATCAGTGTATTTATTTGAAATTCATCATCTCTTCAGTGGTTACTCTTCTTTCAGTAAGTTATTAACAATCTTTAGCCTTAAAGTACAATTTTGAAGAACTTGTACGTAGCTATGCTGCATGTACAAAGGCAGGAGAAACTGAAGAGTCTGTGTGATAGTGTGACAGTAGCAGACTTAGCAAAACATAAGTAATTTGTTGCAGTCTTAACTCCAGCATGTTTCTCAATTCCATAGTAATACATTCAGATTTAGAAAGCAAATAATTTCTTGTATCTTTATGTAGTTATAGAGGTATGGGTTGCTGTAGCTTCTTGTGCACCTTCATGTTCGGAATCAGTACCGTATTCCTTCTTGTAAGCTAAGCTGAATTTTTCCTTAATACAGTTTAGTAACAGAGGGCCTGTTAATATCTTAATTTACTTACAGCTCTTACACTAACCTCTTCAGAGAAATTACTTTCTCTTTTTCACAATGACATTCAAATGCTGCTGTGTACCATGTCCATATAAGAATCTAATAAATGCGCTGCATGTACGTTTTGTGGTTTTGAGTAAAAACTCCTGAATTTGAAATGTGGTCATTCATCCTGGTTGTTTTTGCCTGTGTATGTGGGAGAATGGAAATTGTTGCAGCATGTCAAATACTGGATAGTCAGAGACTCCCATGCCCCCTGGTAATGGGAAATCTGGCAAATACAGACAGAACAAATTATGTACTGGGACCAACTTGGCCACATATTTAGAGTGTGAATTGTATTGGTCATATTTCATATGAAGCACTGAATATCAAGCAATGGTAGTACCTTCTTCATTCTTGAACTAATAAATATCTAATTATTTTGCCCTTCCCCAACTGTGTACTAAATGACTTGTCCAGGGAATAATTTATCAAAAGACCTATTTTCTGGCTTGCATTTCCATATACTCTAGGAGTGGGTACTCTGTTAAAAAACAATGGAAACAATGGTAAGGATGCTTACTTTTTGAAGTCTTTTTGGGTGTTGGAGATGTATGTGGAATAATAATTAAGAAAGCATTTGATCAGAACTGATTCAGATAGGAAGAAAGAAAATATAATAATAGAAGGAACCAGTGGTTCCTGGAAGATTGTTAGGGCACAGTCAAAACATGACTAATTTACTTATCCTTTAACTTTGAGTTCAGAGTATCTTATGGCACCAAGATGGAAAGACACTAGGTTAAAAACTGCATACTGTATCTCCTTGGTAGTAGGCGATCTTAATAGGATGATTAATGAGTATATGGTGTAGAGAAATTCCTTGGTTGCAGCTGAAAAAAAACTATTTATAATCTATAAGGGCAAATGATAAAAAAAAAAAAAGATGAAATATAAAATGCAGGTACCTGAAGTTTTTAAGGACTTAAGTCTGTGTAAAACTTTATTTAAACTTCTGAACAGAAATGGATCATGTTTCAGATATGCTTGTGGAAAGTATATCCTACTGAAACTGGATCTAAACTAGCTAAGCACTTTTTGAGTTTCACCTTTATTCTCAAACCTAGTTATCAATACAGGAGATTAATATTAAGCACTCAAATGTAATAGCAAACTGTCTTCCAGAAGCTCAATTTCTGCTCTGTTACTTTGGATCTGATCCAGACTTACATGAGAGAGCAGAAAGGGGCTTGTAGTCTCAAATTTACAATGAAGGTAAGTCCTCCTCTCAGACCTACAAGCTGTGTTACTGTGTTACTCTTCTCCAATGGAAGAACTGATTGAGGAGCTACTTTTCTCCCCATTTGTGTTACTTGATTTTTTTTCCGTTGATTCTGTGATTCTAAGATTCTATTTCTGTTTGTCTACAGTATGCAGTAGCACTGTGATGTTCTACCAGAAAAAAACAACAAAAAAACCAAACCAAAACAAAAAACAAAACCCAACAAACAAACAGCATTTTTGGGGATTAAAAATACTATTTAAAAATATTTTTAAGTAAGCAGTTTTTAGTGTACCCTGTGAACTGCTGGAGCATGGGTACGTGTGAATTAGCTGGAGATTACCTGTGGCAGAGGAAGAGGAGGGAAGGGACCATCTTCAACCTGATTCCTGTCATATAACTGAACTGTTGAAGAGAGATGAACGTGTGTGAAAATTGTGTACAGAGTTTAGAATAGTATTCTGAGAGAAAAAAAGAGTATTCCTGTGAGAAGCTACATATGCTATGTTGCTCAGCAGGACAGGAACTTTTAGCTTTTCTGCACTAAATTATTATTAAAAGGTGAGCTATTCTGTCAAGGCAACTCGGCAAGTTGATTGAGCAAAAAGAAAGATGATTACACTGATTTCCATCTCTTCTATTTCAAGAGTGAGATCATCAACATGTAGAAGGAAGACTTCCCTGCTGTGTACTTCCAAACTTAGCCCTTAGCTCTATCATTTTTTTCTAAATCTGCAGTGCTTCTGAGGCAAAGTCATGTGGAGCTTCTCTAAAGATCAGACTCTGCAGGTATATTTTCTTATCAGTTTTCATCAGTGCTTTCCATCCTGTGGGTGAAACCTAGGAAGTAAAATAATTTTCTGTAAGTTATCTATTCAGTGGATGTTCAGTTGAATGCTAACGCCAATTCTGTAGAGCAAAGCTTTTCAGATGTCAATAACTTTGTTATAATTATGATTAGACTTAAGCATGAGTATTAAGATCTCATTGTTTCTTTAACAGTCAGGGAAAAGACAGGTGCTACCAGACACCTACCTACAGCAAAGATAACCTCAGATGAATTGTATGTGAATACTTGTGACTCTGAGAAAAGAAATCCCCTTAGACTGAGACTAGAAGTGCCACAAGGGGAAAAAATATTAGGGATCCCTCCAAATAGGCTTGCAGTCAAAGCAAAGTCAGTGTTCTCTGTGACAAAGATGGCATAATCCACAGGAATATATGGTTGACCCTGCATTCCAGACTGTTTGCACTTTCCCTAAAATGGAATTGTTGTGAATGCTTCATCCCTGGCAATGTTCAAGGCCAGGCTGGACAGAGCCTTGGGTGACATGGTTTAGTGTGAGGTGTCCCTGCCCATGGCAGGGGGGGGTTGGAACTGAATGATCTTAAGGTCCTTTCCAGCCCTAACTGTTCTGTGATTCAATGATTCTAAAAACCCTATCACTGATTCATTTCTTAGTTGCTTTCCAAAATATGTAGAACCTCAAGATTTCCAGAAAAGACAGGAGAGATTGTATGAAAGTAACATAGATGCTCTGCTATTACAGATTCATCTTTATAACATCTTTATGATGACAATAGAAACTTGTTTTCTGGATAGACAGTGGTGACTCTTTGTCTGTGACATGGAAGATTATATATGGAATAGTCTAAAAGAAGTTCATGTTAATTAGCAAGGAAAAGGAATCGTGAGAACAAAAAGGTAAAAGCAGGCTGAATAATTAACTAAGTGATACTGGGAGGCAGTTTTAAGTGGCAACGGCTTTGAAGGAGAAAGTAATTTCAACATTTAGATCTATGGCTTGATGTTATGAAATGACAGAAATGACTGATACTAGAGGAGAGTATTTTGAAATTGAAAACTCTGAGATGCTTGAGTGCATGTTCAGAAATTTTAGGGTGACTTGTTTAACAGATAAAAGCCATCTATTGAATGAATATCTTGATGCCTGCCTTTTATCAAAATCGTAATTGGATATGAACTTGAACGCATCTAAAAAAGACCCATACACTAGTTGATTTAAAAGTAAATGACACATGGATGTTCTGCACCCAACTAAGTCTTCCTGTATGCATATTTTATCACTTTGTCTTGGTTTTCATCTCTTCATAAAGAAAGTTACAGAAATCCTCAACTTGCTATTTCATGTTAGAGCGTCATTAGAGAACCTGCCTTGTAGGGTGCAATATTCATTTCTACCACAAGATTTTATCTTTATTTAAAAAAACTTTGTCATACCTGTAATCATAATGAACATGATTCCGCTGATGTTAGGGATCTTCTGAGTGAGTTTTAAAAATTTTAAAATTCATCTGCAATCTTGGTTCCCCCCCCTTTATATTGTAAAACAGGGGGTTTTGTTGGTAAAGAATGAATACCATTCGTCAGTGTCATTTATGCATCAGAACAATGCCCTTCATTTTTTACACCATTTTTACAATGAATAAAACCCAGAAGAGCCCATGTACCTTAATTTTTTTTCCACCTGAGAGTTTGTCCCTAGTCTAATTGGACATAATTTCCCTTATTGTCCCATTGCTTAAAACTAAAGGTTTAGAGAGTTGTATTTCATTTCCCTTCAAGCTTTTTTAGTGAACATGGTGTCCCTTGACAGTTAAGTACTCTTAGACATGCATTTTCTGGTACAGACAAGGTATTTCTGCTGAGTGACTGCACAGAACTGAAGAATAAAACAAATGCTTGGTTTCTGCAATTAAGAAAGTCTACAAACTGCAGGGATATATCTGTATCCCAACACCTCCATGCTTTTGTTAACAGCATATACTTTTCTCCTTTTAAATCACTGTGGTCTTCATTTATTACTTTCTTGTCCTAGAAAAGGGACTTTTATGTGGTCAAAAATAGTTATATTCTAGGTTCTTTATATGTTTTCATAGGTTTCTTCCTCAGAGCTCTCTCCACCTCTGTCTTCTTGTG